TAGTGAAAAAATGGGAGATCTTCCTCTAAAGTTTATAGTAAGGCAAAACTGTCCACTCTTGACATTACATTTCAGCATATTAGTCTGAAGACTTAAAGGCTTCTTAAGTCTTCAGTAATGGGTGAGTACTCAACTCCTTTCTCTTACTCCTGAAAAAAAAATAATTCAGGATGCACACATTCTCTGAATCTAACAGAGCGACATCAATTTCAATCAACCACACAACTCTTTTCAGTTGAGTATTGGATTATGATTTGCTCGAGCGGGCCCAGTAACGTCTCCATTGGAGACTTTGTTGTTACTGTGTCTGGCATATCGACACAGTATGCCTGGCGCCGTGTAATCCCATCAGCGGCCAAGACTCAGAGACTATAAAATCCAGATCCCGGACGAGAGCAGTGCAGTCTCTGCCCCCGCGCCTCGGTGTTCCTTCCCGGAGTCCCTTGGAGGGGAGCGGGTTGAGCTTTCCTCCCCGCCCCGGCCAGGGCTACGGCAGCCGGAGACCTCCAGGACCAGCCACCACCATGCTGAGACCACTCTCCGCACACCTGAAGGTACTGGCAGAGGGACAAAGCCACGCGGGTTCCGGGGCCGAGACCTCCAAGCCTACTCGAATTGGAGTCGAGCATCTTCCACCCAGATCCTCCAAATTCCAGTAGGCGGGGGTCACACCCACCACCTGGCCCCCTGGCGCCGTGTAATCCCATCAGCGGCCAAGACTCAGAGACTATAAAATCCAGATCCCGGAACTGCGCGGCCGCGAATCTCATTCCTACTTTGGACAAACTTGCAGGCTGTCGAATGTAGCCTGCCCACAGGGCAGAGTCTGGCAAACTCCCCGTGGCCTACCAAATATGCCAAATACCAGTAACAATGATGGGTCTCATTCTCCTAAAGAGCCCTGAATATAATCTCAGGGCTAGGATGAAAGAGACGTTACTGGGGCCTGCTCGAGGCAATCGACGATTAACAGGATGATGAAATGAAATGAAATGAAATTGGATTATGATACTTTGCATATTGGATTGCAAATGTTGGATACATTCTACTCTTCTCTCCCTTCATCCTAGTTTCAGTACTATGTGAAGTTGAGTTAAACTCCACATGTACTATCTACCATCACAAAGACCCTGGGCGGCAAGTTGCATAGAGCATTTTCTTAGAATGATTTACAGAAAAAAATCAAGAACTGTGCCTGAAATCTCTACTCCTTTTTCCTAAGAAAGAATTCACAGGTCAAGGCTGTCTCTATGAGAGCTGATTATGCCTTTGGAAATGGCATAGAAAAAATACAATAGACCTTTTCCATGTTAAATATGTGTTTTCAGCTTTGTGGTCAATTTTGTACAGTTTCTTAAATAGATTGAGGGGGCTTTCATAAAGGGATTTGGTGCATATGCTATTTCTAACTTTATGTATTTGTGGGGCTCAGATACTTCATTTCCATAATTCTGTTATTATACTGATGTCTATTTAGTAGAATAGAGTAAAAACATGATTATCTCATTAATTCAGAATGTATTGGGAATAAGTTGACTTCAGTACATAGTTCTGTATACAAGGAGCTTATAACCTACCAACCCATGCCAACAATAAGAAAACACTAGACAAAAAAATAACAATTCTTCTGGGATTTAAGACAAGTCAGGATACATACAAAGTGATGGCCCAAAATCAGAGAGACAGATGTGTGAATAGAGACACTTATGAGAAGAAATACAAAAGGAACAAGCACCAGAATAGGAAATCGTAAACCACACTATTACAAGCTCAGCAATCAGCTGAGTGTGACTTGAAGATCCAGGGATAGTGGGTCCATCTCTGGACTTTCCTCCAAGAGTTTAGAGCAGTTCTCAATGTATTATTATAGGAAAAAAAAACTCCCCTTGGTTTTTATGTCAGAGGGAGGTGGGGAGGAATCACTTGAAATATGCCATGGCACTTCATTCTTCTCACTGAGTCATAGTTATGAGAAGCTAGTTAACTAAAGCCTAATCTTTTGATGCTCAGAACCCATCTTCTGATTATCAAAACACTACAGATGTGATAAGAGGTAAATACTCAACTTGATTTAACCCAACTCCTACCACCCTCTCCCACATATGAGGGTGTTGGTGGATGTAGGAACATTCGTGAAACCTACAGTGCAGGAGGATAAACTCCAGGAAAGATAGAAACTTAATGAGAGGACTATACTCTGATTCTACTCCTTTACATTCCAGAACAACTGAGTAGCCACAAAAAAAATTTTATCTAAATACAAACTGCACAGCATTCAGAAAAATGCACTCAAAGTGGAACATAGACCTAAACAAAAAAATGTAAAATGCCTGGGAGAGAACATATAAAGATTTTAGATGACCTTGGGTATGATGACTAAGATATAATAATAATAAAGGCAATATTTATTTTAAAAACTAAAAAGTCAGTAATTATTTCATCTTGAAAGGTTGCTGTTTCTAAAGTAATGTCAAGATTTGAGATAATTCAAAGAACCAAGTGCACGCTTGTATGCCAAAAGTCTAAGTTCAGTCTTCGGCGTTGGATGGGCCCCTGAGCGCAGCAAGGATGGAAGCCTGAACACTTTCCTTTATGTCCCTAACTCAAAAAAAAGAGGAAGAGATGAGAAAAAAATAACATACTGGTGAAAATACTTGCCAATGAAACTTTAAATAAAGGGCACCCATTGCATATACATACTACTCTGAAAGCTAAACAATACTTAAAATTAGCAACTTAATTATAAAGTGGCTAAGAGTCTTAACAAATCTAAACAAATAAAGCATATATATATAATATATATATATATAAAGTAGCACTGTCTGTAGCACTGTCCTCCCATTGTTCATCGATTTGCTCGAGTGGGCACTAGTAACATCTCCATTGTGAGACTTGTTACTATTTTTGGCATATCGAATACTCCACGGGGAGCTTGTCAGGCTTTGCCATGTGGGCAGGATACTCTCGGTAGCTTGCCGGGATCTCCAAAAGGGACAGAGGAATCGAACCCCAGTCGGGTGCATGCAAGGCAAATGCCCTACATGCTGTGCTATAGCTCCAGCCCATATGGAAAGTAAAGGTAAAGGTAAAGGTAAAGGCCTTCCCGTTGTTCATCGATTTGTTTGAGCGGGCCCAGTAACGTCTCCATTGGAGACTTTGTTGTTACTGTGTCTGGCATATCGAATACGTCATGGGGAGCTTGCCAGGCTCTGCCGTGCGGGCGAGATACTCTCAGTAGCTTGCCGGGCTCTCCGAGAGGGGCAGAGGAATAGAACTCGGGTCGGCCATGTTGGCTGCGTGCAAGGCAAACGCACTACCGCTGTGCTATCTGGAAGATTACCGACATCATATATCATTAAAATTGCAAATCAAAAACAGATATATTTCACCATATCTATTAAAATGGCCAAACTCCAGAACTCTGGTAGCACCAAATAATGATTAAAGCAAACAGAATGTTCATTCCTTGCTAATCATAGTGCTAAATGGTGCAGTTACTTTAGAAGAGAGTTGAGGTTTTTAAAAGATAATCATATTTCTACTATACGATTCAGTTATCATTGTCATTGGTATTTACCAAAACAAATTAAAAACATGTGTCTACACAAAGCCCAGCAGATGAAAGCATAGGGAAACTTTATTTGTAATTTCGCAAACTAAAAGCAGCTAAACTGTAGGTTAAAGAATAAACTATGTTAGTTAGTAGTTGTATTAAATTGTACAGTACTCAAAAAAGCAGAGTCCATGAGAATACACAGATGGGCTTTAGATGTATTTTACATGAAAATAAGCAAATATCAAAAGGATGCATACTCATTGCTTAGTTTCAATTGTTTGATATTCTGGAAAACTGAAAACTATGAAGATGGCAATATGATCAGGATTTGGGGGAGAGAAGGAAGACTAGACCAAACATGTACGACTTTTAGGGCATTAAAAATATTCTATGATGGGCTGGAGAGATAGCACAGTGGGTAGGGCATTTGCCTTGCACACGGCCAACCTGGGTTCCATTCCCAGCATCCCATATGGTCCCCTGAGCACCGCCAGGAGTAACTCCTGAGTGCAGAGCCAGGAGCAATCCCTGTGCATCGCTGGGTGTGACCCAAAAAGAAAAAAAAAGATACTCTATGATACATACCATAATTACTGATACAATTCTTTTTGTTTTCCTTTGGGCCCACAACCAGGGGAACTCAACTCAGGACTTACTCCTGTTCTGTTTCAGGATAATTCTTTACACATATGTCAAATGAATAGTTGTACAATACCAGGAATGAAACTTTAAAAGAATACTTATAATTTATGTAATTATTTTATTTTTTGAAAATTGCAGTGTAAATCTGATTTATAAAATGAGTGAACTAGAACTATCAATTCATTTAAGATACAATATTTCTGTATGTTTCAATAAAATAAACCACAGCACATCCTTTTGTTTAAAAGTATATGAATTTTTTCTTCAATTTAAAATCTTCAGCAGTTAGTTAACAAAAGAAATTGTTACATTTAGGCATAAATTTATTTTGATATATTGGCTTCAAATTTATTTTAACTTTATTTCAAATTTATTTTGACATATCGGCTTCAATTTTATTATTTTAAACTAACCATATTCCATTTCCTTTGGACAAATTTCCTGCTTCAATGTGGTACCTTTGTACATTAACTTGTTTCTATTTACCATGTAGGTTTTCATGACCATGTGGTAAAGAAAGTAAAAGTGGGATAAACAAATAATCGAGTATTGTAAATTTGCCAAGCAGTTTCTAAAATTTCTAGTACTTCCCCTGAGCCATTTTCACACAGACATTTAATTTCTGAATATACTTTTCATTTAGAAGACAATAGACTTTTTAAGATAAAAGGAGCATTTAGAACACAAATCTTAATACACTGCAGAACTTTAAATACAGTGTTGGGCTTATGAAATGATGGTACACATACCATCAAGACTGAGGGTAATTCAACCAGGTTTTGTGTATACTACCATATCAAAATCACAGTCCCATGGAAAATTTTGCTTTCTCAACCATCTTATTGAAGGCACCCTTTACCTCTTTGTTTCTCAGACTGTAGACCACAGGGTTCAGCATGGGGATGACCATAGTATAAAACACAGAGGCAACTTTGTCTGTGTCCATGGAATGGCTAGAGCTGGGCTGTAAGTACATGAAGATGACCGTCCCATAGAAAATGGAGACAGCCGCAAGATGGGAAGCACAGGTCGACAAAGCCTTTTGATGTCCCTGAGTTGAGTGCATCTTCAAGATGGTGACAAATATGGAAGAGTAGGAAATGAATATCACCAGAAGAGCAAAAAAGACATTAAAGGTTGACATAAAAACAAGAAGGATTTCACTAAGGTGTTTATCAGAGCAAGAGAGCGCCAAGACAGCTGGGACATCGCAGAAAAAGTGATGAATTACATTGGATTTGCAGTAAGAGAGACTGAATATGTCCCCGACATGGAAACATGAGTTCAGGAAACCACAAATGTAGGAGCCTATGGCCAGGCGTGCACATGCACTTGTTGTCATGGTGGTGGTGTAATGGAGTGGTTTGCACACTGCTGCATAGCGGTCGTAGGCCATTGATGCCAAAAGGTAATTTTCCACAGTGGCAAAAGCTACAAAGAAGAACATCTGAGCAGCGCATGCGTTGTAGGAGATGAGCTTGTCTCCTACAAGCAATCCAGACATGACCTTGGTAGTGACAGCTGAGGAGTAACCAAAGTCGGCCAGGGAAAGGCTACTAAGGAAGAAGTACATAGGGGTGTGGAGACGAGAGTCCAAGAAAATCACATGATCATCCCCAGATTTCCAACTGCAGTGAAGAGGTAAATGAAAACGAACACTATAAAGAGGGGGATCTGAAGTTCTGGGGCGTCAGTTAGTCCTAGCAGGATGAACTGTGTCACTTCTGTCCTGTTAGCCATCAATGTTATTTGTGAATCATGAGATATCCTACAGCAATGCAAACTTAAAGAAAAATATGACAAAAGAGATGTCATGGTGAAATTAAAGTGCATATAAACATTTGGCAATATTTTCTTTAACAATTTCTGCTGTATGATTATCCTTATCTAATAGTGATACATATAAATGGGTGTACTATATTCAAATTTATTTTAATTTTAGTATTAAGTGCATTTAGGATTGGAAAAATTATAAAATTTTGTGATATTCTATAATTATCAGTAGTGTAAAGAGCTTTCAAAACAGGTGTGATCTTAGCCATATCATTAACTGTGCATATTTAAATTTGCTAGTAATAATAATAAAGATGAGATTTGAGGGAAAGGTTAGCTACAATTTAATCTTGCTAATTCATTTCCCTTATTGTTGAGAGAATTATCATTTCACAGATTTTTTTTTGTCACCTTGGACTGGAGACCAGCTGATAGCAAGCAAGATGAAATTAGCAACTCCTCAATAGAGGATCAATTCTTACTTTTTATTAGATTTATTCAGGAAGAAGCTAAATTTTTATAAGCATCATTAAACTCCCTATGAATAAAAGTTTTTATACTCAATCCTCAATTTATTTTTAGAAAGATATCTGAAATACCCTTTTCTGTGCTCAAATAACTCATTGCATATATTTATATATTTCCTTCTGCTTCTGCATGAATAATACCTTACACTCATATTTTAGACTGTATATAGTGGCTTACCTTGCTCCTTGAAGAGAAGTGATAGTCAATCCTGAAGAATTAGTGGTAAGTTAAAAATCGAGGCATTAAATATTGCATAAATAATTGTAGAGAAGCTACATTTTAGGCAATGGTGAAAATGTTCCAAATTCTCATGGACAGGAAAAGCTGAGAAAAAAACAAAGGTTAGATGCCTGTACTTAAGTGCTAAAATCCAACATTCATTCTTCCTGTGCCCTTGGAAGAGTTGCTTACCTCTTCCAAATTTGCAAACTAAACGTAGAAAAGTATTTGTCTCACATAATTTATATATTTGTTTTCTAATTAGCCATGAAATTATTTTGCAAAACAATTTTAAAATCTCTCCATATGATTTTTATCTGTGACTGCATTCCTTGGACATGGTTGCAGTCTCAGAGTAATTACCCAGGTATGGAGGATGCTTGTTTCAGCATTTGAAGTAATATAAGAACATTCGGTCTTATATAAAGTCCCACTAAAATAGTGTCATATAGAGGGTGGTAGATATTTTGTAAGCCAATGCAAGGGAACCAAGTGTAAACTACAGGAACCAAGTGTAAATTACAAATGTAATTCTCTCAGGAGATGCCATCCCCCGGGAGATCATCTGCTGCAACTCATCCCACTTACTAATATTGTTATGTAATTTCCTATGGGGGTCATGTGAATGTCACTGGGTTTGCATGAATATCTGAGTATTATTTTTATTTATAAACGTATAATTTACTATCAGCAAAATCCATACTTTTTGTGAGTTTGGCCAATTCTTTGTGTAATACAGGCAACTACTAACTAAGCTATAAACCACTGCCATCACATAAACAAAATCCACAGATTCTTTGCAGCCAACTCCTTCTCATGCCTACTGCCCCTGGATGATTAATGATTAATCATTAATCATTCTTAATGATTAAGGGTGTATATAATGGGGTTTTTTTTCACAAATGCCTCTAACTGGTATTATAGAATTTGTAGCCCTTGAGTGTTGTTTCTTTCACTAAGCATAATGCATTGAAGATCCAGCAGCACTGGTCACTTGACTTATAGTAAAAGCTTTTTTGGGTTTTGAGAGTACTGTTCCATTTTATAGATATTACAGATTGCTTTTCCGTTCCTCAGTTCACAAAGGCATTTGTGGGCTCCAATATTTGGTGTGCACAAAAAGACTTTAGTTGACAAAGAAAGATATAAGCATGTGTGTGTGTGCATAAAATTTCCTATATAATATATATCCCATATATATGGGATATATATGTATCCCATAGTAAAATTTGAAGCAAGTAAGTCCTGAGTTAATTTTTAGAGATCATATTATTACTTTTCTCCCCTCCCACATTTTACATGAAGTTTGTAAAGTTTCTTATTAGTTCCAAGTGAGGGTTCCTTGCCTTTTCTAGAAAGCCATTGAATTGCATGCAAAGCTGATTTACTTGCCATGAAATGTTATTTATTGAAAGTTTTGTATCAATGCTGCTAATTTGGGTCTAGGATATTATATCACTTGATCACTTGACATCTCGATATTCATCAATATGGTCCAGCGGATGCCAGTAACCTCTCCATTTGTCCCTGTCGCATTCTAGTGTAGCCCAATGGTGTCTGCTCGTTCTAAACACGAACAGCCTCAAACAGATCGTTCAGGGTCTTGACAAAGAAGTCTGACCATCTCGTAGGTGGGTGGCCACACGGTCTTTTGACATCCCGTGGAATCCAGTCAGTAATGGCTCTAGTCCAACAGTCGTCTTCAAATCTCATTACGTGTCCAGCCCATCTGATTTTTGACACCTTGGCAAATGAGACGGCGTCCCTGATTCTTGACCATCAACAGAGGTCGAAACTCGAGATTCTTTTTCTCATTTGAGTGAAGTGTGATACTCCAAGCATAGCTCTTTCAATTCCTCTTTGGGAGAACCGAATGACGTTCTCATCCTGTTTTCATAGGGCCCAGGTCTCTGAGGTGTATGTTAATGCAGGAAGAACAGTGGAATCCAAGAGATGTACCCTGAGCCAGAGATTCTTTGTCCTCTTAGCTATTTCTTTGACACTCTTGAAGGTATTCCAAGCCACTCTCTTCCTCCTGCGCAACTCAGGTGCCAGGTCATTTGTCATGGTGCCTTCTTGACCTAGATACACATAACTGTTGCATTCAGAGATGTTTGTTCCATTGAGAGTGAATGCAACATCAAGAACAAGACTGTTTCTCATAAACATTGTCTTCGTCAGATTCAGCTGTAGTCTGAACTTTCCACACTCACGGTCAAAGCCGGCTAGCATTTGTACCAATTGGCTGATGTTTAGTGTTATTAGAACAAAGTCAACAGCAAAGCAGAGGTGGTGTAGTTGCCAACCATCTATCTTCACTCCCATTCCTTCCCATTCCAGTCGTTGCATGACATTCTTGAGGGTGGCTCTGAAGAGTTTCAGTGAAATGGTATCACCCTGCCAAACCCCTCTCTTGTCATGGGTGATCACTTCTTTGTAGAACGGTGAGATCCTGGTAGTGAATCTTCAATACAGCTCACGGAGGATCTTGATGTATTGCGTTTGAATGCCCTGATTGGCTAGGGCTTCAATGACCACTTCTGTCTCAACAGAATCAAAGGCCTTCTTTAAATCAATGAATGTTAGACAGAGTGGCATCTTGAACTCCCGAGAAACCTCATTGAGCTTGGTTATCATGTGGATATGGTCGATTGTGCTGAATCCTTTGTGGCACCCGGCTTGGTCGCATCATTGTTCTTCGTCTAGTATTCTGCCAATCTTATTCAGGATGACTTGAGTGAACAGCTTGTAGATAACAGACAACAGGCAGATTGAGCGATAGTTGCCAATGTCATGGATGTCTCCATTCTTGAACAGTAGTACAGTCCTGCTAGTTTTCCACTGGAACTGAACCTTGCATTCAGACAGGTAGCATGTGAAGAGCCAAGCCAGTGTAATGATGAGTACCGATGGCAGATTCTTCAGGTGTTCAAATTTGACCTTGTCTGGGCCAGGTGCTGTTCACTACTTTACTGGTAAAATGGCATGTCGGATTTTGGAAAGGAGAATGCTGGGAATAGCATATCCATACCGCAGAATTTGGTATGTGGGCAGGTGGACATGGCTATCGAAGATATCCAAATAGAAGTCATGAATAATCTTTTTTGCCCTTCTGGAAAATGTGATAGATCCATCAGGACGTCAGAGGGTAGTCATCTTGGTCTTGTAGTTGGCGAAGGACAGGTGGGTATTGCGAATGCTTTTCCTGGCTTCTGCCGCATCTACCAACACTGATGCTCTTCTGTCTTTGAGGTCTTCCTTTATCGCTTTTCTGCACTGCTTTGTGAGCTCAGAGGTTCTCTTGCAGTTGCCTGAGCCTTACTCCAAGCCATGCTGGGAAATAAACTCAAGAGTTTTCGAAGACAGATTTTTTTTGTGGCTATCTCTCTCAGCACAATTACATATCTGCATAATCGTGGAGGTGCTGAACCAGTCGATCATATTCGATATGCCAAAACTGGTAAATACAATGGGTCTCATTCCCCTGACCTAAAAGAGCCACCAATATGGCAGTGTTAAGAAGGATGAGGAAGGAGAGGCTGATAAAATCTCAAGGCCGAACTAGGCTGCCAAAACAAAGAAAGACAAAAATGACTGTCTGTACTTTCAATGCACGTATGCTGGCATCGGATGCATCCATCAAGGTCCTGATGGTACAAGTGAGAAAGATCAAGTGTGACACCATTGGTCTGATCGAGACAAGAAGGCATCCACCACATCACACCATTTTCGACACTGAAGAAGAACTGTTCCTTGGAGCATGCGACAAAAGAGGAGTCGGAGGTGTTGGTGTCCTTGTCAACATGAACTTGGCCATGAACATTGATTCATTTGAATGCCTAACAACCCAAATCGGATGATTACACTTGAATAGATGTGGCTCACTTCCGGCAGTTTCTATCTTCATTGTCTATGTACCAACATCCAATTATGATGGAGAAATTGAGAAGTTCTATATGGAGCTAGAGAACTTCTATAAAGAAGACTACACCTTCTACATGATCATTGTTGATGATTTTAATGCCAAGATGGGACTGAGAAGATCAGCCAAGGATCACATCAGGACCCATGGCCTAGAATGGAACAAACAGCATGAGAGACTGAGTTTATCATGTCGACCAAGACCATCCATGGTAACTCACAGTTCCAGGAGGCCAAATCTGAATGTTGGACATGGGAGTCTCCCGGTGAACGGTTCCACAATGAAATTGAACACATCATAT